AATGCTCTAGTATTTACTAGTAGGGTAGGCTGGTATATATAAGAGGGGAAAACGTGACGCGGGAAGGTGAGGTAATGTGTGTGGATAGACAGTGAGTAATTGAACTGCAGTCAGAAGTATTGTTGACGTTCGTTGATTAGCGTTCGTTTTAACGCGATTGTTGAGTTGAGTGTATCGGTAAAGTTATATTCGGAAAGAATAAATCAGTTTTATTAAGAAAGGACTTGTGTCGCTTAAAGTTTCGTCAGAACGAAGTTACGGAAAATTAATTAACAAACGGAGACGTAACAATATTAATACGCAGACTGTCTTAAAAAAGAAAATACGATATTAAAGTGAACCAACTTCAATAGCCGCAGAGTTGAAATAAACTATGATATATCACCCGCTACAGTTTACGATATGAATATAACAGAAAGCCTTAACTAACAATTAAAGTGCTAAAATACATTCTTACTCGAGGCTAATGAGTAAGATTTATTTACCCACTGTAGTTTCAAGACTTTATATAATTCGTTGATATATGTTTTGTTAAGTGCTTTATTCATTTTCGATAAGACGTAAACGAAAGCTTTTCAAATGTTTTTTCTGCTTTTGCAGTGCTCTTTAACATATTTCTGTTTTCAAATATTATGTGTTTTAGGCCTATTTTAACTTTCCGTGTGAAAATTGCATTGAGATTTTTCTATATAACTTAATTGTAATTATAATTATACAGCATATATCATAAACATGACGTTGTAGTACATAATATATACCTAAAAAAATGAAGATATATGGGTTTCTACTGCATGATTAAATTTAATATCGTGAATAGCTTTATTTTGGACATTTTAAAGCAGTTAAAACTTCGACGTTCTAGTTTATAGGAGCATGCCATTTTCAGGCAAATATGATTAGCAGTAATTACGAATTTAAAGTTTAATGATTATTCTCGAAAGTGCAGATATTGAATTATAGGTGTTTAAAATAAATAAATTATTTATTTACAAAAACTCATACCAGTGAAAAATATAGCGTAAAATTGTTTGGAAGTAGACCACCACATGTTCGTTTTATTCTGATTATAATCAGTAGATACAGAGAGGAATTATTGGATATTTATTTATTATTTATTATCAATATAGCTTTTGTGTTTTGATATGGAGTATTTGGTTTCCTTTAATTGTATGAAAACATAATGATTGTCTTTTAAAGTTTTCTTTAAATCTTTGTGATCAAATTCTCTTCCAGTTTCACCTAAATAATATCGTTCACTTGTGTCATGTTTAATTTTATATTTTACTCTCTTGTTTTCCTTTCGTTTAGAAAAATTTTCTTCCAGTGATGTTTCCCATTTTTGTTTTTGATTTTGTAAAATTAACGAATTGATGGTAATATTGTACCTTTTTAATAAGTCATTTCCATATTCCGACAAGCTTTTTGCTGCCATATGGTCAATAAAAGGGACGGTGGCTATGATATACTGTGGTTTCTTTGTTTTGATTTTACTGTTAGTTATTAAATCTTCCACTGGTGTAATCACTTTTTTTTGCATAAACGCAGATATTCTCTTTAATCCTCTGTTTAAATCTCAAGTGCGATTTGAATTATACGTTGTTCGGTTCCAAGTTTTTGTTAAATGGTTGCGATTTTCCAGTAAATATATTGTTTTCAGAACTTTGATTTTCTATACACATATGTATAGCTACACGAGGGCTATCTGCGCTACCCGTCCCTAATTTAGCAATGTAAGACTAGAGGGAAGGCAGCTAGTCATCACCACCCACCGCCAACTCTTGGGCTACTCTTTTACCAACGAGTAGTGGAATTGACCGTCACATTATAACGCCCCCACGGCTGAAAGGGCGAGCATGTTTGGTGTGAAGGGGATTCGAATCCGCGACCCGCAGATTACGAGTCGAGCACCTTAATCACCTGGTCATGCCGGGCCCTTGTCACTAAGAGCAACAGTGGAACGTAAACGAACTTAAGTTGAAACAGCAAGAAAAATGAATCTAACTATCCAGAATTATTTTTGCCATAAACAAAACAAAAAACCCTTATTAGAGTAATTTAACACATTAAAATGGCGGGTGCAAGCCTACAGAAAATGATTGAATAATTAAGAGATGTACCTGATGATGAGAAAACCTTGTCGAAACGTTGTACATTTGCTGTTATGTTAAACTTATATTAAAGTTTTTCTTCATTACCCATTCAAGCCGTCTCCAACCATTATAATTAAGAGATGTTTTATCGCCCTCTATTCACCAGTATTTAAAGCTTATTTATGTAGCGAATTCTGACCACAAAATGACGCATGAATTACGAGGGATATCTCACGACATTTCCCATAATGCTTCAAATGACGATCACTTTGCTCAACCTTGCACCCACTCCTTTAATTGAAGTTAGAAGAGTAAATTTCTTACTAATCTTAGTTAATCTAATGTACAGTAGGGTGAGCTTTAGTGGAAATATAAAAAAAATACCTTCATAGGAAAAAAAAATGTACGCTTATATTTAATTCGAGACATTCGAAGTGCGCTCGAGATATGGTGCTAACTGCTACGTATTCGCATTTTATGATATTTTTACTATTTTTTTTAATTATGAAAACTTACTGGTTTGTGCTTGTCTTTCATTGCATGCTTGCTGCCTGACTGAGCAGTCTTGGTCTACAAGTCCGACCCCAGTGTTCTGTAATGTCCAAGTACACGCCTCTGGTAAGCTTCTGTCTTCTCTGTTCTATCACTCTCTTTTCTTTTTGCTAACTATTTCTTCGTCTTATCTCCGCCGCAACAGTGTTCTTCTTTCAGATTTTTTTTTCACTTTCATGAAGGAAACACTTTCCTCACAGCCTGTCTGATTTAAAGTTGAGCGCTCCATTTTACGAATCTACACAAATTACTAATGAATTCTTTAATATTTGTGAAACATACTTCTCCATTTCTTACGAAATCCACTTACATTAAGGTACAAGTATTGCATAAGATATTTGAATATGAGAAAAACGAACTAAATGAACCACGATGAGGAATATAATTGGTTGACAACCACCCTGTCCTTTCGAAGATAATTACGACCTTTTAATATATTTTGATAATTATTATTGAAAACTCTTAGCAATAAAGTCTATAGTGGAAGATAATCCACCAAAAATGACTAAAATCTATAAGAGGACAGTTTCAAAGAAATGGCCTCCAATGGGTAAGTCTGCGGTCCCAAAAACACTAAAATCAGGGATTCGATTCCCTGTTGTGGACATAGATCGCAGATAGAACATTGTATAGCTTTGCGCTAAAACTCTATAACCATCATCAAAGAAATCGGGTCCTAATAATAAGTTCAAAGGTAAGATTGTAATAAAATTTAAGGGCTAAGGAAAACAAGAGAATTGTACGTTTCACAAATATATCATTTATTCACGACTATGGTTTCGCCTGTAAATACATCATAATTATGCCTTGACTGCCGAAACCATGGTCGTGAACAAATGATGTATTTGTGAAACGTACAATTCTCTTGTTTTTCCTCAATTCTGTAATTATGGAGTTTCACCAAGTATCGATGGTGTCACGTATCAATTATATAATTAAATTTGGCCTAGTACGTCTTTGTTGTGTTTGCTAGACTACAGAGTTACTGTAGGAATGGATTTTAAATAACACGATAGAAATGTTAAAAATAAGAAAGCGAAATTACTATACATAAAAGAATTCGGCGAAAAATGAGTTTTCATCTTGCAAACTAACATCTGTGTTATTTGAATTCACCTATAATATTATGAATAGCCTATGACTAAACTTGATAAATATATGAGTAATTTATGTACAATTACTGAAATAATCGCTGCCACACATGAATTTTACGAACCTATTTTATTAGCAGAACAACTAAATTAAACTTTCGTTGTTCCCACTTCAGACAATGGAAATACCAGTAGAAAAATCAGTGTATTTAACTTCCAGAGCAACAAACTCTCAAACCACATCTGTAAGTGCCATACAGAAAAACAGCAAAAACCTGTAGTTCCTAAAAAATATGCAATCTGGTATTGTTTTCACTAATGTTCAATTAAACAATGTGTCATTTTAATTCACGTTAAACTATTTTAAATGTATAGCAACTGGTCGTTTCAGTTTTTCTCTCGGTAAATTTTCCTGTTTTCCTATCTTTAGTTAAGATTAATAAATTGTGTTTCATAAAGTTTTTAAAGTTTTAAGTTTATGAAATGATTAATCTTTGTAAAGGTCAGTATTTTATAGCTAAGTATGAAGTTCTTAAATAACCATATTGTTATGTCGTTCATATCATATGGGAAATTATCATTCTAATATATACTGGGAATTATGGGTATAAAATTATAAGTGCGTTATTAGGGCTGAATGTTAGGCCTAGGTTAATATATTAAGGACGAGCAATTTGCTGGTTGGATTTGTGGGATCTGTCCAATGAGAAAAGGGATTTTGTTTATGCAATTGATGGTTTTCCTGAGGATTGGATATGTGAGCCACTTGCTTGTATAATTTGTAAGTCCTTTAATGGTAAGCAGATGCCAGATGATTGGAAATTACCTAATTTTACTTCTTATTTCCAAGGAGGTGTTGAAAATTGTCCCAGTAATTATAGGCCTATTAATATTAGTATTACATCAGTAAAGGAAAAAGTTTGTGAAACTCTGCTAAAAGATCCTTTGCAAAGTCATTTAACAAAGTTTAGAATTTTATTGGATAGTCCACATGGATTTAGTAGAGGAAAGTATTGTATTATTAATCTTTTAAGAGGTCACTGGTTATGTATATAAGCATTTGACAAGGTGCCACATAAAAAGATTCTTAAAAACGATTGGGAGATAGATCAGCTCATTGGAGAAAAAACTGGTTGGATGAAGAAAAATGGAAGACTTATAAATTGAGTTCAGTCAAACTGGATTAATGTCACAAGATAAGTACCTGAACATTGAATGTTTTACACCAGTGATATAGATGAAGGCATGGTCAATAAATTGTCGAAACTGGCTGATAATATTAAGATTTTGGGTGTTGCTGGCTGTGATGATGCCGCTGTTGGATTTGAATTTTTTTGGTAAGTTGGGCAAATAAATGGCATATGGTTATTGCATCATCTTTTTTTTTCGTGGTTACTGATAATAATTAGGACACATACATATCAATTCTGGCAGGGTAGGAGTCATCCTCAGTTAAGACAGCTTTAATTTTCTAACAGGGTTGCGTTCAGATATTGTAGATTTAGATAACTTAGGGAAGTTTAAGGGAAGGCTTGATAAATATTTGATTGACAAGGGCTTGGTTTGAGTGTTTTACTTGTATTTTAAAGTTTTGGTTTAGTGGATGGGAGGACCTAGATGGACTTTGTTGTGTTCACATTATATGTACATTTTATTGGGAAAAACATCTTTCTATGTACACTGTGTTAAAATTCGCATATTATTATGTCGTTTATCTCATAGGAAAGGTATTATTCTAAGTATGCTGTGCTGAAATTATCTTATTATTATTAAAAAGGATCGCTCTTGATATGTTGCTTTGAACTGAACATCTCATATTTTTATTAACATGAAATTCATTCAATTTCTAGATATCTATCTTATCCAGGATACTTGTATCCATACGCTAAATTAACTTACAATCTGTGTCCTGAAACGTATAGTTTCTCGTCATTTTGTACGCAAAGTATTCAAACTGTCGATATTATTCTTTGAATCATATAAACTGACAGTAAACGAATGACTTAATGTAAAAGAAATCCATTCGTATATGTAAACTTTTTAGGTTTTCTATTATTCAATGCAGGGGAAATACATATAACACTAACCATAGCAACTAATAGGACATCACAAGTTCTATGATTTTTCTGTAGAACATTCACTTTGAACTACAAAAGACTAGAGACTGCAGAGACAGTTAGCAAGTATAATTTTTTCACTTAAAGAACTCGTGCCACTTAATAAAAATTAACAAACTTTATTATTTTACAGTGAAACATAATTGTAGTAAACTATAAATGAACATGACAAAGTATGTAAAACAAACATTAAATATGTATAAAGTCATATTGTCTATGATGGATATTATAACAAACAAGAAACAGTGGCGATTAGTTTTCATACATGCACTGATACAAACCTGTCGCGAGGTCCTTATGCCATAACTCAGAGTTTCAAAGTTCCAAGAAGCGCGTTTCTGTTTTCCAACAGTGTCTCAGTGTCCAACATATGATCAATGCTCAAATGTCAGACTAATCTCTGTGAAGCTTAACGACGATTACACTGATTAATGCTAAATTTACTACATTCTCTAACCCAGAGCTAAGATCAACAACTGTACTATAAAGCCAGATTATCATGGTATCAGTTACCTAAAGGATTGACATAGTATAATGAAATATGTCTATAGAGCATTTACGTACGGTTTTCTATATATCATTATGATTTACGTTTACAATAAAAAATAATATTTATATTAAACGATTCTGGTGTACAAAAGTTTTTTAATTGACACGTCACGTGGAAGGGGGGGGATTTGCGGGGTCATTCCATGAGGGCCTTGGGAGCAGATAACAAGGATCTATATAAGGTGAGTTCTGTTTCAATTATTTTCATTAGAGCCAGAGATGGATAGCCGTCTACAACAACCATTTTCATGTTTAATGTCAGGCCCAACTGGAAGTGGTGAATTCAGTTTGTAAGTAAAATTTTGACCTGTCACCGCGATATTATCTATATACTATTCCTGAAAGTTTTATAGGGTTTTACAGCGAATTTCAACCTCTAGATATTAAATTAATGCAAAATGTTCCTAGCATTCAATTTGTCGAAGGATTTCCCGAACACTTGTATGATTATTTACAGTCTCATAAACCAAATCTTTTCATCATTGATGAGTTTATGAGTAAAGGTGGTGAAAACAAACATGTGTCTCAGTTTTTTACACGTGAAAATCACCAATTTGAATTGATTCAGTGTTTTCTATTGTACAGAATCTATTTCATCAGGATAGAGAAATGTGCAACATCAGTTTAAATTCTCACCATATATTGTGCTCAAAAATGTCACGGACAAATCTCAGGTGAAAGGTTTAGCGAGACGAATGTTTCCAACTCATATAAAATATTTTGAAGAAACTTATCAAGATGCATCACAAACTCCAGAACAAATTTGCCTCAAGAGAGGATTGTTACCTGATTTTGGAGTATGTACCCAAGTAAGATAAAAGCTGATACTTCACTCAATATATACTCAGCCAATTAAACTACTGTGGTTGTGATAGAACTAGAAGGATTTTGCCAGAAGCACAGGTTTGGCGTGGTTACAGAATTGTCACTGAGATAAGTGTTTTTAGATTAAACCATCGTTTTTTTATGCGAATGGGATAGTCCGCTATGTTCATCACAACCTCTGGGAAACTGGAAATATCGACCGTCTCTATCTATGAAGTGTGGCCAGAACGCTAATAGATAACTTCACGACCGTCTACACAAAAGGTGTGTATATGTGTTTTCTTATAGCAAAGCCACATTGGGTTATCTGCTTTGTCCACCGAGAGGAATCGAACCCCTGATTGTAGTGAAGACTTACTGCTGCCCGACTTACACGAAAGTTAAAGTGAAAGATGACATCCTGGGAAGTCTGCTGAATATTCCATGCTACAATTTGGAATTGTGTGGATGTTCCAGAGTTAATCAACTCTGTCCTGTCCATATC